CTCCAAATGAATTTTCTCTGTGACGGTAAAGAAAGAAAAACAAAAAACAAACCTGTTGGAAGGGAAGTCAGACCCAGAGTAACCCAGATGGAATCTCAATAATTGAGTATGGTTGTTCTCCTTTATTGTGCAGTTAGCAAAGCATATAGAGGCAGAAAACAGTAACATACACACGAGTCACACTGTGGTTGGCAGAACACCGCTATACACACGCCTCCATCGCTACCGGGATTGGGACAGATCACCTGCCCACCGAAGGGGCTCCTCCATCTCTTCTGGTCACAGTTCTGCCCACTTCCGCTGCAGAGCAGGGGCTGTCGAATGGGACTAAGTCGTGCCCGTTCTCACTCAGCCACTCCTCCACAATTCCCCCTTTTTCTTTTTGCGCAAGCAAAACAGTAGATACCAGTTTGGATAATAAACGTTTCACAATACCTACTATAATAATAATAATAATTATTAGTCCTACAGCCAAAAGCATTAACAAGCGTAAACCTTCCTTAGAGAGCTCTTTCACCCATCCTGTTAGCCCCCACTGTTCAAACCACTTGTCCCAGGGACTGATATCTTTTTGCATTTTTTCTAAGTTCTTCTTCATCAAGGCAATTGACTGATGGATTGATTCAATACGGTCGCTTAGGTTAAAACAGCACATGCCATCAAAATCTTCACATCCATGGCCTTGTGCCAATAGTAGAAAGTCAATCGCAGCACGGTTTCGTAACAGAGCATGCCGTAGACTTCTTTGATCTAATAATAATTCTCCTAACATCTTTGTCATTATATTACTTTGTTTCTCTGACCAACAGGCAAGACGTGCTAGAGTCCTTAAGGCATTACCGGCAGCAGCACCCGGTACAAGAACAGCTAAAGCAACGCGAGCAGCTACAGACAGAAGTTCAACATTGTCATTACAATCAGGGGGTAATAAGGCACGTTTCGCTTGACTCTGGCCAACAGACACAGTGATATTCCTAAGCTGACTAAGAGATGGTGCAAACATGGTTAGTTTACCTAAAT